TTAAATTCTTTTTATATCCATTTGTAATCATAATTAAGTAATTAATTTATTTTTAAAATCTATAAAATATCTTCTTGTCTGTTTTTTTTTTTTTAAAAAAAAAAAAAATATATAAAAAAATATTAATATTAAATTTACTTTATGAATGAAAAATTAAATTGATTATTATTTAATTACTTTAGGTTTAAATAATTTTAATAAAGAATATAATTAAAATCTATTACATTTTCCTTTTTTATTATAAACAAATTTACTAAAATCTACAAATTTTTATAATTGTCAGAATCTAATTTAAAAGTTAAAAAATGCTCATTTATATTTAGATTTTTATGAATTAAATTATTTAAATCTTAATTAAAAATTTAAATTATTTATTTTTTATCGAAAATCTAAATTTCAATTTCATATTTAGAATTATATTCAAACAAAATATCATAAAACTAATATTTAAAAAATACTATTTAATTATTTTCATTTTGTCTTTATTCATAATCGGCTAGTTCAAAATTTTTAATTTTCTATTTTTCTTAATTTATTAGTAATTTAAAATTTAACTAATCTGAAGAAAAATTAAATAATTCAATAGACTAAATATATAAATAAAGTTGTTATAAAATTTTATTTGGAGCATTTTAAATTTATATTTTAATTAATTCTTTCTTTTTATTTAGTTATTTTTCTATATTTTATTCTAATTTAGAAAGTGCAAGATTTATTTAGTCATATATTTTTATTTATTCTTAATTTATTTTCTATTTTTTATTTTTTAGTTTTATTTTATTAAATTCTTTATTTGTTTCTTCTATATTATTTTTTTAATTTTCTTCCAAATCCAAAGCATCTTCTAAAATAAAATTATTCTCCTTTTAAACAAAATCTTATTAAGAAATATTATTTTTTTATTCATTTTATCTTTATATTTGTTTTCTAGTAAGTAAATTATCCAAATTTAGAAAAAAAGGTTCATCTTATATAGGATTAACTGAAATTTTTGAGTTTTGATAATCATTTTTTTTATTAATAGAAGAATTTTTTTCTTAATAGAAATTATTTTCTTCTTTTTTTATAAATCCTCCATTTTTATAAAAATCTTGAATTAAATTATTTACTAGACTTTAATTATTATTTAAGTTATTTTTTTATTGTAATTTTTCAGAGATTTTATCCTAAAAATCCGTTTTTTTATTTTCTTATTTTATAGTTTTTTCTGAGTGATTATTTATTGATTATTAATGAAATCTATTTTTTTAGAAATTTTTTAAACATCTATATTTTAATTATTATTAATAACGTAATTATTATCAAAGCTAGTATTATTATTTGTATTTAAAACATTAAAACTATTATTAATAATTATTTAATTATTATTTATATTATCTTATTACTTAATATTAGTAGGGCTGTTTATTTTAATAATATTATTAAAGTTAACTTTTTATTTTTCATTTAAAAAAGTATTAGTATCATTAATATTATATAGAAGATTATCAATACTTTGCACATTTTAATCTTTTAATTAAAGTGAAGCAAATTCAGATTAAGTCTATTATTTATCATTATTATATTTAGCTTTTGTATTTAAAACTAACAATTTAAATCTTCGAAATTATTAATAGTTGACAAGTCTTTAATTTTTATATTTTCTAAACTTATATTAGAAATACTTACTGGTATGTTTTTAGTTTAATTAAATGTTTTAAATATATCACATGGAATAGTATTTTCATTTATATCAACATTTAAATAATTATTCTAATTTTAACATTTTTTTATTTTATCGTGTAAATTAGACTAAGATAATAATTTTATTGATTACTCTTGTAATATAATCAAACTTTTTGGAGAAATATTGCCTTTTTTTTTAACATTTTAGAATATATTTAATGCATGATTAAACTTTTGCGCAGTTATAGCTTTCCATAAAGAAATAATTTGTTAAAATATAATTTTTACGTTTCCTTTACAAATAGATGTATTTTAGTTTTTTAAATTGTTGATTTTACTTATTATTATTATATTTAGATTTTATTTCATTCTCTAATAATTATATAAATAAATAGCATATTGCTTATATTCTTTTCTTTTTTTAATGTTTATTACAATTCTGTATTTATAATTTGGAAAAATCCATTTTAAATTTGGTTTTAATTATTTATTTTAAAATTAATTAATTATTCTAACTTAAGTTTATTTTAATATCTCTTCTTAATCTTTATTATTTTAACAAATAGAATATTAGTCATCTAAGTCTTGCTATTATAAACAATAATCATATTAATTTGCCTATATTAATTTCACCTTTTTTTTTAAAAAAAATAAAATAAATATTTATATAAATATTATCTTAGTTTTTTATTTTTAGGGTTAAAAAAAAAAAAAAACTTTAGTTATTATTTTTTAATATTATTATTCCTTCCAAATTTATTTAAGCTTTTTGTGTTTTTTATTGATCAAATTAATTAGTATTCTTTTTTTAAAAAGGCAAATAATTTTCATCTACTCTTAATTATTGTATATCTTCTAATTTTTTAAATATTTCGAATTTTCCGTTTTCGACTATATCTTAATCTTATTTTAACAACTATTCTATTTAGTATTTATTCTAAGGCTCATTTTCAATTAAATATCTATAAAATTTATTCATTAAAATACAAAAAATTAAATTATTACTCTAAATATAATTTCTAGCCTATTAACCTAAAGGCATTTATTAAATAATTCTCATACAAATTATCATCTTTTGAAATTTTCAATAGCCATTTTGGTTATATTATTCTATTTTTTATTTTAAAATCTTTATTTATTATAAAGTTTGATAAGTTTATTTATTTTTAGCTAAGGCAATTGATTGTAGTGACAGTGTTCTAAGATGAAGTATAGCAAAAGTTTTCTTCCATTTTTTGTTATTTAAATTTTTATTTATTATATATAGACAGAAAAATATATAAAATTAGTAAAATACTAAATTATTATATAAAAATATATAATATTTTAATTATGCAAACTTTAATAATATTTATCAATTAATGAAATATTTAATACAATTTATTAAAATAAGTTTTAATATTTCTTTTTTTCCCCTAAACCATTACATTTTTTTTTATTTTTTAAAAATAACTTAATTTTAAATCGAATATAATTAATAAATGTAAAAATAAAATACAAAAATACAATAATCTTAAAGAAAAAAAAATACTAAACTATTAAAACAAACAAACAAAAGTCATATATTAATGCTATCCCTATATTAAAATATTTATTTAATAGGACTAACAGATTATTATAAAATATTAGCTATATTATTTCTTCTGTTTTTTTTCTTATTAAAATTAGTAGTATTTTTTACAAGTATTTTTTCAACTAATTTGTTATAAATAATCTAATACTTATCAATAACTTTTTCTATATTATTATGAGGATAGTAATATAGAAAACTTTTAATGGCATCTTAATCAGAAGTATCTATTATTTATTCTTATTAATATAAAAAAGATTATTTTTTTTCATATTGATTTTATTATTAAGTAATAAATTTTTCAATACTATTATTATCTTTTCCTAATGAATATCGCTAAGATTATCCTTACTTATTATTTAATTTAAGAATACTTTTTCTTTTTTAATTATTTTTAGGAATTGTTTCATCTTAAAAATTACCTATTGAGTTTTTAGAAGAAAACGATAATGTTTTTTACCTATTTTCCATAAAACTATTCATTTTAAAGATCTTATTTAAAGTTCCATTTTATACATATAATCCTGTATTTTATTTTTATACACCTAATTAATGTTAATTTTATTATTAAAAAATCCTAATATTAAAATTATCAAATGTAACGGATTTCCTTTACATAAATTTCTGACCTCGATTTCCAGTACTTAATTATTATTAAGAACGAATTACTGAAATTGTTTTTTAATTAGATTAATTATTTACTTTTTGAATTTAAGTAACGATTTAATCAATATCTAAATTATCATATAGATTTTCTTCTTTTTTCTTTAATGATTATTTTTTTTTATTAAAAGTTTCATTTCTAGAACTATTAGTATCTAAAACATTTATATTAACATCAGATTCTATGTCTGAAGTTTATATCTTTACTGGGTAGATAAATCTGGGTGAAAATTCAAAAAATTAACCTGCTTTATATTTTCTGATTTTGAGTAAGTCTTAAGAAAGAATATTTGAATATAAAATCGAATTTGATTCACTTAAATTTTTTAAATCATTTTCTTCTTTACTTCCTAAGCTAAAATCATCAGTTTCATTTGAAATTTCTTTCTAAGATTATAAATAATTTGAAATAGATGTTTTTTTTCTCTCATAAGATTTATTATTAATAGAATCTTCTGAACTAATTACCTCTGCTTCTTCTTTTTCTGTTTTGTTTATTTAATTAAATGAATCACTACTACTAGATCCATCGCTACTAGAATTTTAAGTAACATTAGATTAATTTAACTCTTTTTCATATTAGTATTAGGTTTGAATTGTATTATTTAGATTTTTTTTATTTATGTTTTCACTTATAATTTCTTCATCAGTATAATTCAAGTCTATAAAAGTATCATTTAAATTGGCTATTTTTTCCATTTCTTATAAGATTTCATAATAGGCTGGATTTTGGATCAAATTAAAAATCGATTCGTAACATTTAAAGAACATTTTTAGAGATTATTGTTTCTTTTTTTTAAACGAATTATATATTTTCTTTAAAGTACTGGTTATGAAAAATTATATTTTTAAATAATTATTTATTTCGATAGAACTAAGTGGGTTTTAGGGCAAACTTGAGAAATATGGTTTCCTTTACATTAATAGCATTTTATTTTTGCAAATTTATAGTTTTATTTTATTATAACAGCTTCTTTTAACATTTGGAAATTTTCAAAGTCCTAATCGTTTTGTTTTATTATAAATAAAAAATCATCTCTTTTTATTTTATATATTCTACAAAAATCAATCGCTATTGCGGTTTCGCATCTCTCATTTCCTGTCAAGAATGAGTATTCACCAAAACATTCCTTCTTTTCTAATATGTGGAGTTTGGATTTCTTTTTATTTTCTATTTAGAGAACTACTTGTCCTTTTAAAATATAATATATAGACTAATCATCTATGTCAGTTTCTTTATAAATTGTTTCGCCAGGAGAATAAAGACATTCTTCCATTTTATTTAATATTAGTTAAAGACTTTATTTTTTAATAAACTCTTTTATTAAAGGGATTTCTTGTAAAATTTTTCCTTATATTTCTTCGCTTAGTTGATTTTAGAGTTATTTAGATAATTTGGCTATAATTTCATCTTCCTTATGTTTTTTTTCTAATTTGATTCCTTTTTTTATTTATTTTAAATATATTTTTTTATTTCTTAAAAAAAATTACCTTATATAAATATTCCAAATAATTAATTATTTTTACTCTTAAACTTTATTAGACACCTGAATCGGACATTAGCTTGTGCATTGCTTTTATATCATTTTTAAGGTCCTTATATTCTTCATTTATATTCTAAAGTATATTTCCTATACAGTTCAAAGAATATGCATATACAACTCCTGTAAAAAACATAGTAATAACTGTAAAAGTACACTCTATTTAATTCTAAGGAGTTATATCTCCATATCCGACTGTAATCATAGTAACAGCAATATAATAAAAAGAATAAATATATTTAGTATAAATATCTTAGCCTATCAGATTTTTTGAGTTAAGCCACGTATCATCCCTTTTTAAAATTTGGATTTCATATACGGCTAAACCGTACCATAAAAGACAGAAAACATGGCAAATAGTACCTATAGTGAATAATAGTCTTATAAGATCTATTAAACTTTCGTATTTATTTAAAAGGGCTAAAAGTTATTCAAGACGTTCAAGTATACTTCTCAATATAGAAATTTTTAAATATAAGAAAATATAAGAAATTATATTTAAAATTTAATTTTATTTATTGTAAAAATAAAGAATTTAGACTAAAGAAATAATAGCTATTGTATCTTAAAAGAAATAATTTTTGAAATAATTAAAGGCTATTTCTTTACGGTTATTTAAAACTTCCCCTTTTTTTACAATTCCTGTATTTAATTAAAAAAAAAAATCTAAAATAAACCCGAAAAAAGCATACTATAAAAATTCGGAATGATCTTTTAAATTTAATCCAAAAACTCCTATTAACGAAAAAATAAAAAACATGTAAATTATTATTATTGCCTATACACAATCCCATAATGTTTTATGAATTAAAAAGGTTGTATTATTGGCATTTTTATAAAGCTTTTATAAATATGCGATATGGTTTATTAATTATTTATATGTATTTGCTTAAAATGCTAATTTTTGAATTTTAATTTATCAGATTTATGTTATAAAAAGATGAATAATCACCTATTAAATTATATTATTAGTGCGTTATTTTGTAAAATATCCGTGAATTTTTGGTTAGTTAGTTGTAAAAACTCTTTACATTTACTAATAGTCCAATTGCTTTTATTAATCTTCTTGGAGTTTTTTATCTTTTTATTTTTTGTACTGAGATATTTTGTACTTAAATATTTTATGAATTATTTATTTGATCTGTGTTATTTTGGAAATAATCATCATCATCTTTTTCGGTTTCAACAAGGTATTTTTTTTTATTATTAGAACTGTTTTGATACGTATTCATAATAGATTAAAATTTACTTTTTTTTGGTTTTGTTGAATTATTACTTAATTTTTTTGTTTCATTGGATAGTTTAGTATTGTCCATTTTTTTGAAAAAATAAAAATTAATTTTATTTTTTTAAAAAATAGATTAAGTAAAAAAAAAAAAAATAACTGAATTTTTTTTTTTTTTTTGAATATTAGTTAGAATTATTTAATTATTTTATAAAATATATAATTATTATATCTTTTAAATAATTTATATTAATAATTTTTTGTTGATTCATAATTATTAATTTTTTTTTTTTTTTTTTTAGGAAAAAAAAAACTTGTAAAAATTAAAATTAATATTATTCTAATAATACTGGTTATCTTACTTGTAAATTATTAATTTTTATTTTAAAATCCGATTATTTATATTGGAAAATTGTTTTTATATGAATTGGCATTTTAATCATTTAAAAAATAAAAAAGTATATTGAGATTATGATTATAATTTATTTAATAATTTTAAAAATAAACGATTAAAACGAAAATATATTTTTATAAAAAAAAATTGATTAAATTAAAAAAAAAGTAATATTGTAGCTTCTTATATATTTAAACCCCTCCTCCTCCCTCAAAAAGTATCATTAAATATTAATATATATTTTTTTTTGGTTTTTAATAAAGGAAAAAATAATTCTTAAACATTATGATTTATTATTTTTAAAAAATATATCAAATTTAAATTTAATATTATTTTTGAGTATAAAATTTTAGATTATTATTTACCATTTAACTACATTAATCTTAAATTATTTTCTTTAATTATATTTATATATTAATTTTTTAACTATAATGAAAACTTATTTATTAATATAACTTTTCTTCTTGCTGAGAAAATAAATTTTCTTACGACATAATAAATATAATTTTCTTTTGAGAAATAAAACTTAAATCCACATTAAAAAATAATTTCTAGTTACAAAGAAATTACTATATTTTAAAATAGATATTTTCTTTTCTCATATATATTTAGACTCTTTACGAATTTTTTGTCCTAAAAATGACCATATTTGTTTTTTTTAAAAAAACTATTTATGGTTTTAATATATGAAAAAAAGTCTTAATCTAAGAGAAACTGCAGTACATAATAACATAATATAATATAACTATTTTAAAAAAAATATTAAAACAAAAAAAGTTTGATAATATAATATTTTTTTTTAAAAGAAAAAAACATTATTACATTAAATATTTAATTTCTTATTATATTTTAATGATAATTTGAATAAAAATATTTATAACAAAAATCTTATTTAATATATTTATTTGTTATTTAAATTTTAGAAATAATTTTATATTATATTAGCTATTTTTTGTAGTTGATATTTAGCATAGAATAAAATTTTAAGTTTTAAGATGAATGCTTATTAAAATAAACTTTTTAAATTTAAATTAATTTTATTGGACAATTAAATAATTTAAGAATTATATATATATATATATATTTTATTTAAATATCTAAATTAAAAAAAATATCCAATCATAAAAACTATAGAAGTAAAACTTTTAAAAAATTCAACTAACATCATGCCTAGGATAAATAATAAATAAATTAAAATATATAATTATTTTATAAATATATATGAATTTTATAAATTAAAATAATTTTTTAATTATAAAAAAATAATATATATAAATATTTACAATAATAAGCTCATTTTTAAAGAGCTTAACCTATTTTTGTTTTATAACTATTAATTAATACTTTATAATCTTAAAGATTTTCCAGCAATAGTATTCCTACTAATTTAAATTAAAGGAGTAATCATTTTTTTATAAATAATTTGTTAATAATTTTAGTTTATATGTTCGTTTTCTAACCTAAAATAATTCCAAACAAATCTTCTACAAATTTCCAAAAAGAAAATACAAAATCTAAATAATTCCTTTTTAATATCCAATTAATTAACAACTCCACTAGAAATAGTAAAACACCAAGTACATCTTAAAGCTAAGTCAATAAAAATAGCTGAGTAATAAAAAATAGGTTTTTAGAAGACTAAAATTTCTCTTAAAAAGTTATGCTTAGGATTACACAAACCCCAATCTTTTTTGATATCCCAAATGTAAGAATATATAGAACACATAATAGCACAAAAAATCCAATATTACATATATACTTATTTATCTACATGATTAGTTAAATGTGAAAAAATAACAACAATTAAACTAGATACATATTTTCCAAAATTCAAAATATCATCTCCTTTGAAATTATTCTTTTACTTACAATTTCTTAAACACTAACCCATTCTCATTAATATTGGAGTAATACCTAATAGAAACCTTATAGGTTATTCATTTTTACCTTTTTTTATTTTAAAAAAAATAAATAAATATAAAGTTTATTTTTTACATTAATCAAGTTAATTTAAATCATTATAATCACACGAATAATAGCAAATTGTGTATTAAATATCTTTTATAGGGCCAATTAAAGATACAAGTTAATCAGTAACCCATCCATATTGAAAAATTACAACTGCAGATCTAAAAGGACCAGAAATACAATTATATAAAGTTTTTAATGTATAAAGCATTGCTGAGTTACATATGAGTATAAAATAAAGAATCAAACTTAACCAAAGGATAAAAGGCAAATAATTTTTTTCGATTTTGCTTAAAAAATTTTCAAGATAGTCTGGTAAGTCTATTATATCAATTGAAAATTAATGTCCAGCAAAAAATATAAAAAATATTATTAATGATATTTTAACTTTTCTTAATACTATTTATGGATGAATGGTAAAATTTATATTTAAAAGCTTTGAAAAATTTATTTTATAATATTTAAGTTCTTCCTAATTTAATGCTAGTAATCCAAAATATAAATTTATCAAGCATAAACCTCTATATATAGGAAATGTATATTTGAAAAATTCGTTTTCTCTCTCTATTACTTCTATTTTATCACGCATTTTTTATTAATTGAAATTTGTTTTTATAAAATATTTTTAATTTAAATAGACTTTTTTAAAATTATTAGTTATATTTTAAGATTTTTTATGATTTAGTTTTATTTTTTTAATAATTCTAATTTTTTTTTATATTTATTAGTTTTTATGTTTAAACATTTGACCAAATTTTAATTCGAGTTTTATATATGTATTTTATATATCTCTGAAATTAATAATACTAAAAATATTACAAAATAAATATTATTTAACAATCATATATTAATACTTTTTGTTTAATTTTTTTTTCATATTTTCAGTAAAAATTTAATTATTGACAAACAAACAAACAAAAGTCATAGAAAAAAAAAAAATATAATGGTTTTTTTTTATTTGATTAAGTTTTTTTGAAAAAATAAATAATAAAATAAGTGATTTTAAAAGAAATAAAAAAAAAAAAAATTCTTTAAAAAATTTATATTTATTTGTTTAAAAAATTAATTTTATATATGTATATTTTTATTATATTAATTGAATATTTTAATATACAAATAAATTTTTTCTTTTATCTTCATTAATTTTATATTTAATAAATCAAAAAGTATTAAATAACTAATTTTTACGTTAATATTTAATCAAATCTTGAATACTATTTTTTTAATTTTAATTTTTTTTTTACAAATTATCCTTCATATAATCAATAAGTGTTTAAACTTTCTAAATATTGCTTGCTTTATTATTAAAGATTATTTTAAACAAAAAATAATATCCAAATTTAAACAACTTTTTTATATTTAGAAATAATTATTGATTAGATTAATTATATTTATTTAATTTTCAAATTATATATTGTTCCATTAATCTCATATATCTTTATTATAAACAAATTCATAATTAAATTAATTTTTTTAAAGTTTTTTCTTTGTAAATTATTTTTCTTACTTTTTTTTATTTACAAGTATTTTTTTTTTTAAAATATTTAATTTTATTATTTTTTTCAATTATCTTTAATTCCTTTATCTTAAATTAAATTATTTTTAAGATTTCTAAATAACACCGTTTTTCACAAACTGAATTTACTAAGAAAATTTAATGATTTACTTTCTATTTTATTTAAAATAAATAATATTTAATTCTATTAATTATTAATTTGTATTTCCTTATGTATATTTCTAGTATTTTTACCTATATAATTAACCAAAATAACCAAAATATTCAAATAAAATAAGGATTTATTTATAATTACATCTTTCAGGCATTATTTTTAGACCATTTTTTGCTAATCAGCATTTATTTTAAAATAATTAGCATTTATTTTAATTTTTTGAGATGTTCAAATTTATAGCTTGGTGTGTCGTAGTTAATTATTATTAATAAAAAATTCGAATTTTTTTTAGACTATATGGTTATAAGATATATCACTAATCCCTAAATCAGTATATTTTGAAGTATCTTTAATAATATGAGAAAATCTTTTCTTTATACGATTATTTGTAATATTTAAAGTAAATAAGTAAATGTTTTATTATAAAAGTTAAATAATTTAGAAAAACAATTATTTATATTTTGAATAGTTTAAATCTAAAATAATTATCTGTTTTTTTATAA